ACCAAGAAGGTGGGCTTGCTGCAGGGAACCCCTGAGCAGGAAAGGAGTGGCTCACTGCTTGGGAAAGCTCCGAATGAGCAACATTTTACCAGAGCCCAGCCAAGGCAAGCCCTTGTCCCCAGGGCAAGAGCCTGGCAGCAGAGCGATAACCTCTGTGAACATCTGGTGCTGGCTCCGAGCTGAGTTTGGGGTGCTGAGCTGTTTTCTGATGGGGAGGCCCCTCTTGCCCACTGCCCTGCTCACTTTCTCAGGATCAAGGCCTCAGCCCTACCCCCCTCACCTGCCTGTTGACAGCCAGATGGAGAGCACTTGCCCCCCCACCCACCCACTAAGCCTATCTGTTGAGGACCTATCTTTTCTTTTGACAAGGGGAAAAAAAAAGAGGGATGAACGCTGACGTCATGGGCCTGCGTAGGACAGCAGGGTTGGAGGCCATCTGGATGGAGCAGGTGCTGGCAGGGCCCCTGGGAAAGGGAAGGAGGGCAGCTGGCTCGTCAGGTGGGGGTGTCCTGAGGTCAGACAGCCCCGTGGCATGATGAGGTTAAGCTTTCCTGGAATTTCTGGCCTGCGAAGGAGCCTCCAGCTCCTCCTCCGAGGCAGGCCCGTGGGCGCGGGACTCCTGGAGGAAGGTAGCAAGCTCAGGGAGATCCGATCAAGCCGTGGCTTCTGTGTCCTCTAAGTGGCTGCACCGCAAAAGGGTCTTGGGAGTCTTGGGGGTCGCTGGGTCCTCTGGCATGGCAGTGTGTGTACGTGCGGCCAAGGTGCCGCGACGTTCAGATCCCTCTTCTGCCTCAGCTGCTTCCTGCTGCCTTCTGCCAGGGGTCAGAAGCCTTCCATGGGGCCTCTGAGTTCACTCCGCCCCGTCCAGGAGGCAAGGAGGATCTTTTCCCAATTACAGATGGTGACACTCAAGGCCCCACGCAGTGATGGGACTTGGTTGGAGTCCCACTGCAATTTTCCTGCCTGGCCTCCTCAAGAACTGCTCACTGCCTGTTTAGTGTCCTCTCTGAGAAGTTATGCAGCTGGAAGGGGGCCCCAGGGATGAACTAATTGCAGAGGAAAACAGATGGGCGGCTCAGCAGCCCTCCCCGCCCTACCGCCCCAGGGCCAGGAGGGGGCGCTGCTCCAGGGAGCTGGTTCCCGCCTCTGGACTCGCCACCCCTTCCCCAGCCTCCTAGAGCCCTTACACACTCCTTTCTCACCCCAGCCACCCTGACCCGGGCCCATTCTCATTTTGCATCTCGTCCTGTTCTGCTTCTGGCCTGGTCACCGCCTGCCCCAGGAAGGGCCCTCTGTAGTGGCCGCGAGAGTCTTACCTTGCCCTTCTGGAGGAGGGGAAAGAATAAAGAGAGGCCCACAGAATGGGGTCTTTTCTTTCCATGTCCCCACCCTTCAGAGGGCCAGGAGGGAGAGAAGGGTCCCACCCATGCAACCCTATGATGCTTGGGGCTTGACACCTGGCTCTGCCGTCCCTGCCCTCCCGACTGGCCACACGTTTTGGTGTACAGTGGTGAGCACAGCTGCCTGCCAGCCCCCACACTCCCTCTGCCTCAGCTTCCATGCCCCCATGAGCGTCCCTGCCCTCCCCACCCCCAAGAGCACAGTAGGCCCCCTCTTTCGTGTCTCCTGCCTGCAGGATGCCACCGACCCCAGAATTGCCTCTATCCCAAGCCTAGAGTCCTCCCTGAAGTCCCCCACTGTCCCTAGGTCTGGGCACTCCGGGTTCTGCAACCTCACTGGCCCCACTTCCCTCTGTGTTGCCCTTTGGCCAGGCCTCTCACCGGGTCTTTCACTTGTATGGCATCGCTGGGAGTGAGTGGCACATTCCACTGGTAGCCCACAGGGAGTCACTCTTTTCCATCTGGGTTCTCCTTCTCTCTTCCCCCATCTCCCTGTGTTATCAGGCTCAGGAATGACTTTTCCTTCCCCAGGAAGCCCACCCTGCTAGCCCAGGCTGGGGGAGCCCTCTTGGGGTGAGCCTGAGCTTCCCTGCTCTCTGTCACTGTCCTCCTCAGCCTACAATGCCAGCATCTTTCCTGGGGTCCTTCCCTGCTGGGATGGAAGTCTACAGCCTGCAGGAGTGCTCAGGGGACACTTGGGGAATCAGTGAGTGGGTAAGTGACAAGTGACAGGATTCCCAATGGCCTTTTCTCCCTCTTTTGCCATCAGGAAAAGATTTAAAATTGAGCAGTCAATAAAGTGCCTTGAACAGCTCACATTCAGCTGCTCAGTAGGTCCAGCCTTTCCAGGCCAGGCCCCTGGCAGCCAAGGGCACAAGAAGCTGACATCATGAGGGACAAACAGCAGGAAAGGACTTGAGTCCCAAGTCCAGGTCCAGGATAGAGAAAGAGCCTCCTCTGCAGCTGCCCACTCAAGGACACCAAAGGGACAGGTGTGTGCCGACTCCCTCCCTCCCTGAGGTCCCCCCAGCCCAGTCCTCGGCCTCTGGGCCTCCCAGGCCCCAGCGAAGCAGAAGCTGCTCCACAGCCTGCGCCAGGGAAGCTCACTCCACAGTCAACGCCTCCAGGACCCGGACTGCCTTCAGTCACCTAGTCCTGTGGTCAGAAGTGGTAGCTTACCGGAAGATTCCCCTTCCAAAGAGGGAAAGTGGAGTCCAGGGTGTTGGCTCTACCACACTGGGTTGGCGATGTCAGTTTTATTAATTTAGCCTCAAAGCTCAAACAGAGGTGAGACCTAGTCAGTCACCAGGCTATGACCTGGAGTCCCAGACATATCAAGAGTGTCCAGGGATACAGAACAGGAAGAACCAGCCAGTAGACATCCAGGCAAGAGGAGGCAGCCAGGAGCACCGGAAGCTTCCAACCTGCCCTTAATAAGGGACTTTAGAGGAGGGAGCTGCTGGCCTCTGGAAACCAGCCCCGTGCCTGACTCTAGAGTCAGTCCGGCTCTACCTGGCTCTTTAAACAGGTATAAATAAAGCAAGTATTTGGCTGCGCACGATGGCTCACACCTGCAATCCTAGCACTCTGGGAGGCCAAGGCGGGCGGATCGCTCAAGGTTAGGAGTTCAAAACCAGCCTGAGCAAGAGCAAGAACCAGTCTCTACTAAAAATAGAAAGAAATTAATTGTCAAACTAAAAATATATTTTAAAAATTAGCCAGGCATGGTAGTGCATGCCTGTATTCCCAGCTACTTGAGAGGCTGAGGCAGGAGGATCTCTTGAGCCCAGGAGATTGAGGTTGCTGTGAGCTGGGCTGATGCCATGGCACTCTAACTGGGACAACAGAGTGAGACTCTCTCTCAAAAAAAGTGAAAAAATAAAGAAAAAAATAACAACAACAACAAAAAAAATAAAGCAAGTGTCAGAGTTCCAAATGGTAACATCCCTACTTGCTCAGTGGGCAAAATGGAGAGGGAACTTCCACAGCCCGCCTGTAGATCCCTGACTCTTCCCCATTCTCGCTCCTCTTCCCTTCTCCCATGAAGAGCGGCGCCACTGCGCGGGGTTAACGTGGACACGCAGTGGGGAGTCAACACCCCAGAACTGACAAGGGATGCCCTGTGAGTGTCCAGATCTCCCTGGAGTTCAGGAGATTCGCTGCCCCAAACTGGGACCTCCCCGACTCAAGGTGTGAGGGTGGGAAGGGGCCACCGGAGAACAGAGAACGGGGCTGACAGCGCAGACGCTGACGCCGCTGCGTGCACAGCTTTGGGACCGGGCTCCACTGCAAGAGCCACCACAGGGCCCGGTTGTCGAGGCGACTCTTCACTCCAGCTGCCCTCCCGCCTCAGGCGCAGCTTTTTCTCTCTGAAAAATCTTTTTTGCGTGCCTGCCTCCCATAGGGTCGTCTTCACGCCTAGGGACTGCCACCGCGTCTCTGTCGCCACCACGTTTGTTCCCTCTCCAGCCTGCATCCTGCCCAGCAGCAGCGGGTTATAGATTCCTGCACCTCATTCGGTTCTTGGGGTCCCAGGCTCTCAGCCTCTGCAGCCCGGCCCGTATGGGGGAGTCCCCCGAGCCAGAGGGACCGGGACGCCCAGCCCAAGGAGCGGGAGTTCGTGAGCAGCAGGGATATGTGGCCGTGGCCTGACCTCTCCACAGCCCAAACCGCGAGTTGACCTCCTGTCTCAGCTCACAGAGGCTAGCCAGGGCTTGGGGCTGGGTTACGCTCCATGCCCAACCTGTGCAGGTGAGCAGGACACTGGAACGGGCACCCCCACGCTGCGGATCTGGTCCGTGCAGACGGAAGCCGCTCGCCAGGTCAGACCCAGGGACATTCTGTGCGGCCACGGCGGGGGCACACGGTGCCACCGCACACACGCAGTGTCCTCTATATCTTGGGTCTGCCCTCGCAGGCCCCTCGTTCCGGGCTGGCGCTCGAACACACAGCCTGGAGAGACGCTTGCACTCTGCAGGGTGGAAGACTTGTGCTCCCCCCTGCGGCCCGGGGCAAACCCGGCTCCCCTGCGCCTCCCGCCTGGACCTCCAGCCCCATCCTCTGCCTCCTCGACCTAATGGCGTCGAGGTGGTCTGCACTCCCGCCCTGGAGAGCAGGTAAACCGTGGGGCCGCAATGCCAGGTGCCCAGGGAAGAGTTTGGCAACAAGGCAGATCTGCGTGGATTTAGGGCAGCGCCAACTTTTTGGCTGTGTGAGTTTGGGCAAGAGACTTAATTCCTCTGAGCCTGTCTTTGCACCTGCAAAGAGGGATATAGATCCCTTTCAGGCAGAGCGCGTGTGGAGAGGACCCAGTGGGTGCCCAGGGCACCGGGGCACCGACGCTTGGCATGCCAGGGCGCGCGCAAGCTGCAAACTGACTTCCCTGGGGCGCGCCGCTTTGCAGCTACGAGTGCAGCCGGGAGCAAGCCCGCCGAGCCGCGGGATCCCTCAGGGGTGGGATGAGGGTTGAGGCCGCGGGGGCCCCCTCCCGGCCCTCGGCGCGGCCTCGTGCGCGGTGCCATTGGCCCGGGCGGCCCGATGGGCGGGAGGATGACATCAGCGGCAGGTTGGATTATAAAGGCGCGAGCAGAGTCACGGGCTCAGAGCGCACCCAGCCGGCGCCGCGCAGCACTGGGACTCGCGCTCTTCCTGCAGCCCGGCCAGCCCTCTCGGCACGGCCTGCCCCTCTGCCCGCCTGCCCGGTGCACCCTCGCTGCGGCCGGTCTGCGCCCCTCGACCCCACCGGCACCATGCACCTCTCCCAGCTGCTGGCTTGCGCCCTGCTGCTCACGCTACTCTCGCTCCGGCCCTCCGAAGCCAAGCCCGGGGCGCCGCCAAAGGTGGGTGCTGTCGCGGGACGCCGGACCGTGAGGGGCGTGGGAGGCTGGGGACCCGGGAGGATGCGGCGCGCAGCGGGGAGACGAGAGGGCAGGAAGGCGGCCCTCTTCCCCGAGATGCGCGCAGGTGAGAGCCGGGGAGCCCTCGAAGCCCGGACTCGGGGGTCTACTCCCCAGCCTCGGGAGAACGCCCTGCCCCAGCCTGGCCAGCCGGCCAAGCAGCAAAGGAGGAGAGGGCAAGGGGCTCCCAGAAGCAGTGGACGACGGCGGCCGCGTGGCAGGTGGATGCCGGGCCAAGCTGGCCAGCACCGGTGGGGCACACGCAGGGCTTGCGGCGCGTCGCGCTGGAGCATCAGGGGCCCCGCAAAGTCCCCCGCGCTGCAGCCTGGCGTCCCTTCACCTGCCCTCTCCTTACTCGAGCAGGTCCCGCGCACCCCGCCGGGAGAGGAGGTGGCGGAGCCCCAGGCTGCAGGCGGCGGTCAGAAGAAGGGCGACAAGACTCCCGGGGGCAGTGGCGCCAACCTCAAGGGCGACCGGTCGCGACTGCTCCGGGACCTGCGCGTAGACACCAAGTCGCGAGCGGCGTGGGCCCGCCTTCTACACGAGCACCCCAACGCGCGCAAGTACAAAGGAGCCAACAAGAAGGGCTTGTCCAAAGGCTGCTTCGGCCTCAAGCTGGACCGGATCGGCTCCATGAGCGGCCTGGGATGTTAGTGCGGCGACCCCTGGCGGCGGTGAGTACCCCCAGCCCCAGCCGCCCGGCGCTCCGGCGCGCCTTGCTCTCGCCGCGGCCCCTGGGACCCTTGCCCCTTGCGCCTCCCAGCCGGCCTTTGGAGGGGAGCCAGGCGATCAGGCATTGATCCAGTGTGTGCTTGGCATTTGCCCGCCACCCCATTTATCATCCCATTTTACAGATGAAGAAAGTGAGGGATAAAGTGGTCAGGGAACTTTGGCAAGGTCAGATATGGCTCAGCCTGAATGAACCCACTTGGCTTCCTCCGGATGATTAGAAACAGGCTTGGTGGGGTCCCAGCCACCCCTGCACCATAGTCGAACTAGCAGCATTGGCCTCTGCGCGCCAACTTGGGGGTGGTGGATTGAGGGAGACCGTGGGTTTGTGGGAGCAGAGAAGGAAAGGCATACCCAGGAGCCCAGGGTAAGTTTGTCTGCCAGCCACTGTGTGCATGGTGGCAGTGGGTAGCCAAGCCCATCAGGATGGCTTCCTGGGCCTTTTGTCCCTGAAGTGTCACAGTGGAGAGGATAGCCCTCCGTCAGGGCCATCAGGGGGCTCTTCCACTGGGGCGTTCTGATTCTTGCCCTTTCTCCAAACCTGGCTGTAGGCAAACTAGTCTGTCCAGGGTCCTGAGGCTGCTGCAGCCCTGCGGCTTCAGGGGTGAACCTCAGTGTTTATGGCATTATTTCAGGACGAGGAAAGGAAAAGACAAATCTTATTCTTTGCCCCAACCTCAAACCCAACATGTCCAGCACAGAGTTCCCACCAACCCTCTCGCACACCCAGCTTGTGCCCTGAGCTCCCTGTTTCTGGCGTGGCCTCCTCACCTGCTAGAGCTGGAGACCTCTGCCCTGCTGTCAGCCCCAGCAGGTGCCGCATGGTGGCAGTTTACTGCTGCAAAGATGCTCACCTCTTCTTCCCCCCTCTCTGTTCCTGCCGCCTGCCAGTGTCCACGGAATAACAGCACCCTAACTCCTGACACTGGCATTCGCCTGCATGAGGATCGTGCTCCTGCTGCTTTCTAGCCTTGCCCCCAGCCCAGCTGCTGCCATTGCCTGTCCAGCGCCCTGTCTGTCCCACCCCAACCTTGGGGGGCTTGCCCTCTCCACGGAGAAAGCCTTGCCCGTGTCCAGTCTTCCCCAAGCGGGAATCAAGGGCGCCTCTCCAGAGCATCCCCTACACCTTTTTTTACAACCAGAACATTTTTTCACCCGAGGTATAGCTTTTTGTGAACCTCTTCACCTCCTCATATGAACTCAGGAACAACTTAAGGGCCAAGTGCTGGCCCAGGGCAATCTAGCACCGCCAGCACCCGCAGCAGGCTCTCAGAAATATTTGTCCGTGACCAGAGGAGCCGGCAGGCCCTTGCCCGCAGCCTCTGCCACCTGCCCTGGCTGTGAACTGGCCCCTTCCTCTCTCCACAGCGAGACCTTGCTGGGCGGTGTGCTTCCCCCGGTTCTGCAGAGGCTTCGGTTGTCTGTTATTTCGACTCTCCCTGCACAGGGAGAAGAACGATTCTGACACTGGGGGGTCAGCCATTGGTAGCTACGATCAGAATGTCTTCGCTGTTCTCTCTCCTGTCCAAACAACGAAGAGATGGATTCCAGGGCCTCAAATTTTCAGTTTGATTTAAGCATCAAGCTCAAACTTTACCATCCAAATGAATGTTAGTTAGCCTTCCGGGGGTTAGTGCCTGCATGCCTGTAGGTGCCTTGTTCTCGGGCATGGCTGTCTGTGGGCACGAGAGGGTGGCCACATGGGTGGTGAGGGAGGCTGTGTGGACGTGGAAGAACCCAGATTGCTGAGACTTCTTGGCCCCTTTGACCAAGGGAGTGAGTCAACCTCCTGGAAGTTCTCTTAGCACAGATGAGCGCCCACCTCCTACACCCTCAGCCCTCTCAACCACACCCCCAGCGAGACAGCAGGGCATCCTCCCGTACCCGCAGGCTCCTGGTGGCAATGCCCAGGATATATCGCTGACTGCACTTAAAGAGGAAGACAGCTTAGATTTTTTACACTAATGAAAACTCTTCTGCGGTTATGGCCTTTTCTCCACTCGTGGGTTGGCTTGGGCTCTAAGCACCACCATAATGACTGTCCCTGATGGTTCTAGGTCTTGGTTATAAACTGCTAATGACAGAGAAACGGTGTCAGGCTGATACCTGAATGAACACTTAGCCCCTGGGCCCCAAGAACATCACAGACATCTGTCATCTGTTTAAACATATGGAAGAGCCAGAGAAGGGAGTTGAGGGAGAGTTCACCCCAGGTTCATTCTGGCCTGGGGTCCCTCTGTGCGTGCTGTCCTTTGGGAGGACGCCTTCCTCACAGCGTGGAGCACTGGCACATCCATTAGCAGGGACGGCACTCGGCAGAGGACTCTCAACCCCCAGCCCAGCGTGACGGCTCAGTCCCCTGGGCTGTGGGAGACACCAGCTCCTCTGCTTCTGAAAGGGACCCTGGACCCTTTCTGCAGCAAAGCCAGCTAGGGAAGGAAGTGCTGTTTACTAGCTGGGACCCAGCCACTGCCCATGCCCGATACGTGGCCCCCTGTTGAATCTTAAAGCCAACCCTGCGAGGTGGCTATTATCCCATTTTATGGGTGAGGAAAGTGACAGTCAAAGCTATTAGTCGTGGCAGAGCTGGGATTGGAGCACAGCTTCTTTTCCCCTTCCCACCGCAGTCACGTAAAGCAGAGGCAGGAGCCTGCCTGAGAGCTCGTGTAGTGGGAAAGGGACAGGGGTTTTCCATTCTCTTTCCCTGGCTGCACCTGGCCGAGTGCCGCGTCTCGGGCTGGACTGTGAGCTTGACTGAGGGGGAGGAGGAGGACCAGTAGGTGTCCTGGTTCCACCTGTGCTTGTGCAGCCCATGCTGCGGGCACAGCAGAAGATGGGGGCCTGGAAAGCACCAGAGGGAACCGGCCCCTTCCCTCTGCGGGAGGGCCTTTGTCTGGGCCCTGTGGGGCAAAGGTGGAAGGACATTGTTCATGCTGCTCGGGGGAAAAGGGGAGGAAGGTTCTAGAACCGCCCTGCAGGCTGGACTTTCTCAGCTAAAGGGCCAGAACTGAGTGTCCCGTGTCCACTCTGTCTTTCAGGATTGGGAACTGGCTTTGTTGTGCTGAGGTCATCCTTGGTCACCAGCCTCCAAGCATCTGGAAACACCTCCAACGCAATGTGGCTTTTACATTTCTTTTTCCCTGGTACTGGGAGTACACAACACCAGCTGTTTTATTATTATTATTTAGGGAGGGGGGTGTGATTTTATTGTCTGGGGTTTTTTTTTGAAAATGAAAAATAAAAAGTTATATATTATATATATATTATATACGTGAAACACACACCTACACCGACTTGATGACAAGGGACAGTTTTTAAGAGACTGACAAAACCAGCTGTAAAACGTTGCTGTTTGTAAATTCATGTCATGCATAAATGTATTTATGTTGTAAAGCTATTTATATTGTTTATAAAGAGATATTTATAAAAATTTTATTTATGTAACTAAATGAAAGAAGTCAATCATTGTAATGTTTTTGTCCTAACTAGTTGAAAAATGTAAAAAAAAAAAGTCATTCCGTGAACATCCTGAAAACTGTCTTTATTTACTTGTTGCATTTATTTTTTAGGAATTAGCATGAGGCAGAGGGAGGCTGTGAAGACCTGGTGTTTGCCTCCAAGTAGATGCAACAGCCAGGTTCCCAATTCCGATGTATTTGTAGCAGAATCCCCTGGGGAGCTTGCTAGACATAGGTTCCTGTCCCCATTTACCTTCTAATCTACTGAATCCGAGTCTCCCAGGATGGGACTGGCCATGTGGATTTTGTCCCGAGTGATTCTGTCCAGCCCCGCCAGGTCCGGAAGCTCTGCTAAAGCACCTGACAGCTGGGAAGTCAGATGTGCATGAAATGAAAACTGGTTTCAGCTGACGGAAGGGCCTCTTGGTTCTCCTCCACCTTCTCTCCGTTATCAGGAGAAGAAATATCTGAAAATATCCCCTCTGTGTGTGGGAGATTTAACAGGTTTCTGCACATCTTGCAGAATTGGTCAGGTCACCTATGCATCTCAGCAGCTCCGTTTTCCGGGCTTGCTCACAAAGCATGGGGGGCGGGTTGTACCCCACAGTGAACGCCGTGGTCAGCGGGGCCAGGGCATCGGCGAGAAGAAGGTATTATCAGATTCCACGTTTGTGCAGTGCGATGTGCTTCGAGAGGGGGTTGTGGTTTCTCTTTTCACTTGAAGCTGCTAATGATTATGGTTCCTATGCCCCATGGAGCTTTGAATGTGAAATTATGAATATAATTTAGAACTTATGAATATAATTGAGATTAGAATCTTTTTTCCTGAAACCAGCAGGAAACTTTGAAGTAATTCCAAAGTAATCTCACTATGTCCTCGGTTCGGTGACAACCCCGTGTAGCCCTCCCTGTCATCTGCGTCCTGTTAGGGGAAATCGGGGACACAAAGAGCCACTCAGTCTGGTGAGATCGGGTGGATTGGGGCGTCCTGCTCAGGGGAGTGGGGAGCAGTGTGGTCATGGGGCCAGCAGGCCTGGCGGGAGAGTTCCAGAGGAAAACTGTCCCTGGGGGAGGTAGTGGGTAGCACCTGGTTTTTCCGCTCGCATCCAAGCCCTGGTACCTTAGTCCCCAAGTGGCCCTCCAGCAGCAGATTCTCAGGTAGGTGGGCAGCCAACACAGTGATGTCACACAGGTGAGAAACCCCTTTTAAGACATGTTCCAGCTGGGGAGGTTTAGGGCCCTTCTCACCCCCTCAATTTCTGCCAGTGCTCTAGGGGACAATTCCAGTCCCCTTTCCTTGGATGCTCATTAGCCCAGGGCGTGGATACCTTCCTCTGCTTGACTTCTGCCTCTTGTGGCTCAGGGCCCAGGTAACTGTGTCAATGAAGGGGAGTACCCCAGCTCTGTCTGTTGGCCCCTCGCCAGGGGGTGGGGAGGGCTGTGGCAGACCAGAGAGTAGGAGGGGGTGAGGGATGGGAGGGGGGTTACACTACTGGCTTTGCTGGTGGCCAGGCAGGTGTGTCTTCCCAAAGCGGACACAGGCGGTGTGGCAAATTCCTTCTAGAACCTAAAGGGCTTTCCCTGTGGATAGTACCTGGGCTGCTAGTACCCCAAGGCTGATAGGGCCTCTCGGGCCCAACCTACACAAGCTATGCTCCTAAGCAGCCCTTGTCCTGTGTATTAGCCCATAAACAACATGCACGAGCCCCTGTTGCCAACTTTAGCCCTCACTGGTTCAAGGCCAGCCCCTCACCCTATTGGCTTAGGATGTTCCAACATAGCCAATTCTCCTTTTACATCCAAACTTAAAGTCCTGCAACTGCTTCCTCAGTAGCAACTGGAATATGTCATCCCAGCCAGGAATTTCTGTTGGAAAGCCAAGAAGGATTGAGAAATATTCAATAAGTACCAGGAGGCTGGCGCGGTGGCTCTCACCTGTAATCGTAGCACTTTGGGAGGCTGAGGCAAGAGGATCACTTGAGCCCAGGAGTTTGAGGCTGCAGTGAACTATGATGATGCCACTGCACTCCAGCCTGGGTAAGATAGTAAGATCCTGTCTCAAAAATAATAATAATAATAATAATAAGTAACAGAAAATATTTTGAAACCTCCAGGGATTACCTAGGTGGTATTATCTAAGAGCTTGCAGCCCTGGGGTCTCTGTCCTGGCCACCTTCTCACCATGAGCATCTCATCTCCCAGCTGCCTGGAGAACTTGCAGCTTCTCTCCCACATGGGATGACAATAACAATAGCACAAGCTTGGAGAAATAGCCCCAAGCATGTGGCTCTCAGCAGTCCCAGCCCTCTCAGATGGCGTAGGCACCTCTGCAGTGTTGGAAGACTCCCTGTGATTGCTTCTCAGCCTTTTAGCTAAGATCAAATGTAGAAGGTTCCTTGGGAAAGGCCAGGTGGGTTGGGCCGACCAGAAGGCAGCAGAGGCAAAGATGGTTCCAGGCCCTGGAAGGCCTCAGGCTTTCCAGTATGGGGGGAGGAAGCCACTCCCTTTCCTGCAGGGCTCAGGGGAGTCTGGGTGGGCAGTGGGAGGAGTCACTGATCCTGTCTGCTCCCTGGTTCGCAGTGGTTGACATGTGGACGCCCTGGCCCCAGCAGGACTGGGCCCCACCTTGAGCTCCCACACAAGCCTGGAGGAAAGGCCCAGTCTTTCAAGCCCATGGAGGGTGTTATCCTGGGAGGCAGCACACGCTGGGGAGGCAGAGCTGCGCCAGCACACCCACCTCGAGGCAGGTGGCTCTGGGGCCTGCCTTCTCCCCACTGCACAAGTAGGGGGGGCTGCTCCGGTAGCCATGACCCTGCAGGTGTGGCGGGAGGCGAGGCTGAGTAGGGGGCCCCTGGGGGGGACCAGAGAGGCCATAGTATCTGGACAGGATCAGAGCCTTAGGAAGAGCCCTCAGTTAGGGGGCGGGAGCAGAATTCCATTCGGAAGGCTCACAGGAAGAGACTTAAAGGAAGGACTATTTCTAGAGTGGGGGCAGCTGAGAGGGAGGAGCCCTGTGGGAAACCAGGTTCTCCCCAAGGGCTGAAGAAAGGAAACTGTCCCCCAGTTGGAGCTGGGTGGAGGGGTCATCCAAGGAGCTGTGCCATGGGGCAGGAGCTTCCGCAGGGCTGTGTCACCAAATCAGGGAGGAATGAGAGAGAAATACCCACCTTCTCTCTCCCCACCCAGCCTCTCGCTCCTGGTGTGTCCAATTCGCTAAACCGGACAGCAGTAAGGAGGCCAGGGGGCAAGGGGGGCCCAGTCTGTAGGCGTCAGCCTGCCCACGCAGGGCCACGTGGGAGACAATCAGCACCACCAGCACAAGAGGCCTCGGGCTGAGCGTGGGGTCCAGCACGCCCTCTCACAGGGATGAGGCTGGGCAGCAGGTGTGGGCCTGACATCACCTCTCTAGGGAAGACATAGGAGCGACTGGATCAAAGGTGGAAGCTCTGATTCTGGGAGTGGCCCCACATTCATAGCTTTACCCAGCTTGCCTAGTGGGTCGACGGCCCTCCTCCCGCCCCAGGGAGTGCCAGTCAACAGGCGACACCCCTCCCTGGCGGCAGATTGCCTGATGCTCACTCTGCTATCCTGGTCCAGGTCCCGGACAGATGCCATCTGCTGTCCAGGAAAGGGAAAGGAGCAGGAAGGGTACCTGGCGAGCCTAGTCCAGAGGTGGGGAACCTGTGGCCTGGGGGCCACACATGGCCTTCTGGATCCTTGAGTGTGGCCTGTTGACTGAATCCAGATTTTACAGCAGAGGGATTTGTTCTGTGAAGCTCAGATTCAGTGGAGGGCCGACTGAGTCAGTCCCCTCCTAGGGCAGACTGGCCACAGAGTAGCCTGCCTCGTTGCCACTCCTGCCCCCAGGGACTACTCTGTCCTATTCTAGAATTTCAGTTTGTTTTCACATCCACTGCACCAATTCTCTTCTTAACTGCCTCACTGTGGCCTTTGAGCTCATCACTGCCTTTGTCATTTTTTCTAAGTTTTCTGTACCTGATCCTTTGCCCCTTTCATCTCATCTGGTTCCCTTTTGGTCTCACTCTGTTGCCTTTTTATTTTAGCTCCTGATTCACAGAGAAATGTCCTCCTGCATTCTACATAGAATGCACCACAGTTCACTGAAACTTTCTTCTAGATCCTTCTGCAGATGTATTTTAGAGATCTGTTCTCTGAGTATCCTAAAAGTGTGTGTCAGTGTCACATCTGACCGGGCTATTTCTATGATTTGCAATCCGTACTTAGTTGGAGAAAGATGTTGGGAAAAGGGCTGAATATCAGATATGGCAGGAAAACAGTCAGCCCATGTCAGGAGCATTGCCCAGCAGGTCAGAAGGATGGCTGGCCAGCCAGGCTGCACAGCTCTGAGGCTCAGAGAGGAGATCCGACCATGGAGAGGTGGATGCTGTTTGCTCAGTCTTCACTGAGGCCCACGGGCCAAAAGCCAAGACCGGGGCCAGCTGTTTGTTGGCGCCTGATTCGACAGTATCAGTTCTTCTTGATTCTGGCTTAACATTGCTAGTCGCATTTTGTCGTGTTGTGAGTGTGGGTCCGCATTGATGCCTACCTATATGTAGCTCCTCCAAAATCCGTTCTGGAGCCAGGAACTGCTTAATAAATTGCATACTGATTTTTGAGAAGCAAAGTTTAACTATTTCATTAACTGTTTTTATTTTTTAAGATACCATATTTTAAGATATGTTCTTAAATTATTTGTATTATTTTGCTACTTTCTAATCTGTTTATTTTTGCATATATATTTATTACTTCACAATGTTATTTATATTGGTTTCCTTAAAATTTTTCTGTATTTTTCCTAAATGCTAATTGAACACTTATTTCTGAGCATGGCTGTATCCATATCTCAAAGTTCTGACACGTGGCATTCTCACTGTTCTCATCTTCTAAATCGTCTAATGACTTAATTTTTTTCTCACAAGTAGGATTTAATTTTTATTTAATCCATATTATTTACTTTGGTGTTACTGAGGTTGGGTTCAGTGATTGTAAGCTTTTCTGCTT